TCCTAAATTCGAAATTTTGCATTGAAAAATACTCTGATTCGCGTTCACCTTCGAATGGTGCCGAAACGCACGCATCGAACGAGTCAATTCTCTGATTTAAATTGCAACGATTCATTGCATCATATCCTCCTAAGCGTTTGTCAGCTTTTCGCTATGAGCAATCCAGTCACGAAACAAATTGATTGAAACTGATTGAACTTTTTAACGGTTTCGAGAAGTAATTTGCTGTATGCATTTGACACATTGTGGTTGTAAAATATCATGTTGTAACAGTAAACAAACCATGATCTGATACAAGAATCAAATTCACACATCCCATAAGGCCCTCATGGAGAAGTCGATTTGTGAGATATCCCACCACCGCATCTGCAGTTATCATTGCCGTTTTCACCTTAACAAATCTGTGACGTTGTTTGCGCATGAATTAGTTCATGCATTTGTTAATGCTAGCTGATCCTCAAAGTTATACTGGATCTTTTGTTAAATTAGTAGCTCGTTGAAATTATTCAACTGCTGGACGTAAGTTTCTATTACACAGTGACAATCACAACTTAATTTACAAGTAACATTCAAAAACTCAAGTAGAGCTCTACTTGTGAAGATTATAATTTACCACTTCCGAGTCAGGCCCACCGATATGTCCCGCTGCATCCGGTTGCTCGATATACACCTGGATCAACGACGGTCTTTGATCATCTGCTAAGTTCAGCCATTCGATCACCTGATTGTCACACAATTTCAACAATTNGTCATTAGTTTTACTTGAATATTGACGAAATATTCAAAGCGATAGTCGCAAAATACCTTATCAATGCGTTGTGTGAATGGAACCTTCGAGTCGTAGGGCATAGCTATCGTTGGTTTTGTGCCTTAAATGTGTGAAGCATTCAACGCGATTCAATTTCTCAACTGGAAGTGAAACTGAATTTCGTGCCAAAATGAATGAAATGCATCAAATGGCCTTCACGAATTTGGTTATTTCGAATTAATGGACATTGCAATGTATTATGTCAAAATACCGCAGTTATTACCATTAACCGGTGATTCACCTCCTGGCCAAAAGTAAACTGCCGACTTCATATTGTATTTCTGTACTGTGTTCCATATCTGCAAATATCTCAAATAAGCGTTAATCCGTGCAGTGCGATCTTGCTGAAGTGATCACTGAGGTTTTTCGAAGCCTTTTTTAAAAAAATTTCAAATGTTCCGCAAAATGACGACATTATTCTGAGCGATACAATGTGATTGTTCTGCTTACTATAGAAGATCAGATCAGATCAACTCAGAAGGAACTGTTCAGCAACTTTATAATCGTGTGGACNTGCTTGCTGCAGAAGATCAGATCAGATCAACTCAGAAGGAACTGTTCAGCAACTTTATAATCGTGTGGACAAATTCTGATCAAAATATGGAGATTCTTACCGGTTCACCCAGATACCATCCTTGGTCATGTACTGATGGTGAAAAGTATTGCTGCAAACAGAGCTGCATTGGTCATAAACTCTATTTCATTTAGAGTGCATTCGGTGAACGAGTCAATTAAAGTATCATGGAGTGTGATTTGACTGCATTTTTGCTTATTATGGTTACGCTGAACCAAATGCACTTGCAAAACTTCCGTGAAGAATCGATACCAATGAAACATCGTTGAAACGCCAGAGCGAAATAGGCTGATACTTGGTAATCAAAATTCTGTTTGTTCTCAGAATCTGTGTTCAGATCGAATAACGCGCAAAATTTATGAAGTGAAAAATATGAATGACTTGAATAAAAAGAAGCAAATGAGCACGACAATCACCCTTGGTAAATCCGCATCATAGAAATGGTTATCCACTATGCCATTCCAAGCTGGATATAAACCCGTCGCAATTGCGTAATGATTCGGGAAAGTTTTAGATGGAAATGACGGTAACATAAATTTACTGTGAGTACCGCAGTCAATAAGTCTTTCAATTGCTGGCGTTATGTTCTTGCGTAAGTAACTGGCTCGAAATCCATCCGTGCTCATCACAATCAACGGTGGTGATTTGAAACTGCAAATTTTCAGCATTCATATGTAGTGTTATACTCAACTTCTTTTGAATCGGGGTTTTCATTGCTGTGCCTTGAAGCAATGCGGTTTTAGCATGCAAACTTTTCAAAATACTCAGCAAACTGCTTGTCGGGCAAGCGTAAATGTGATTGATCTTGCTACCAAACGGTCTGTTGTGCATCATTTCATAGCGTATTCTAGTGTTCGTGGGCAAACGGGGCCCCCGACAGGGAACGCAGGGAGCGCTCCCCCGTGTAATTTACCCCCGGCTATTTTGGCAGGGACCCCCATCCTCGTCCAGTTTTCTCCCCGTGAGGACCCCTCTGTCCGAAGATCTTCTCCCCGACGAACACTTGCGTATTCTATGATGAGTCTGTTAGGAAATACCCCTCCTCGACTGACTGGTGATGGCGAACAACAGCCAGAAACAGGTTGTCGATGGGACGGTTGAGTAGGCAACGTGAGAATCTGTTGATAGTGCCTTAAGGAAGTTGTCCTTTCAATGCATACTATGTCGAACTTACTTCCTGGTGCATTTCGAAAGATCGCACTTCTCATCTACGATCACCTCTGGTGCATTCCCATTTGATTTTTTCTTCACTTCGAGATTATAAAGAACCGTAAACACTATGAATAGCACTGCAAATACCACTGTCGACACACTAAGGAATATGACGAGTTTGCGATGATTACACTTAGACCCAGCATTTTCGTTGTTAGAAGTTTCGGGAACCTGGAATACGTTTGAAATTACTGAGCGTTTCGATGCGATGAAATTCAGCTCAATGAATCATATCGTGATTATAAAATTGAGAAGGACAGTTTTCTCACGATTGCGTTTCAACATGAAACTATTTATTCTGATATCATAAATTTGTGGAATTAAACGGCAAGTTTTTGCAGTGGACAAATTGTTGGTCGCACAAATTTATCAGTCTATGAAGACTAATAAATTTGAACAGGCACTGGTTATCTGATCGAGGTATGCACCTGTAGTTACTCAGGAAGTTTCGTTGTAATCGTTAATTGAATACCGAAAAAAAGTTCGATTTCATTCCACGGAACAGAAGCAAAATGGAGTTCCGTTACAGGAATATCTGCGAAGTATATTAACGATCGTAAGAACAAAACTGGTTCCCAAACAGGTTGTGAAATTGAGCAGAACGTTCAGCTGCTTAATTCCACAAAATTGCTGATATTTCGAAATGAATCGTTGATTTGTTGGTCATTCTTCAGCAACAACGAAAACGTTTGCTCTAGTTGTCATAATAAGTGTGCAATAAGTGCAATGTATTTATGCGACAGAATATGGGCCGATGTGAATCACCAAATTTCATCCAGCCGTCAGATCGTATGAGTGGGATTAATCGATGGCAATGTAATCTCACCACCTTACATGAGATGATGGTAAGCTTCCTTGACAGTGAACGACTTCGTACATACATTTTGCTCTAATAATTCAACAAGTTGAAGTAAAAATATGTGAATGAAAATTTCATAACCTCAGGTGAAACTTTAGCCATTGTCGAGTAGACTGCGGCAGACGGTTATGAAGATTAGCCAATCGT